CCCCGAGAGCCTGCCAGCTCCTCTCTCCAGCCCATCCTGTAGCACACAATACGTTAGGGAACTGCGGTCGCCCCTCTGCTCGAACCTATTACTTCCGCCTGTTTTATTACCGGTCATCCAGCCTGTCTTCATGTCTCCTCACCCTCCCCAGCTTCTAGAAATCACTATTCTAAGTTCACATGGACTTTTACAAACTTGTAAAAAAATTATTTATGGTCACTGTATTTGAAAGGGGGAGAGGGGGAAAGAGAGAGAATCATATTCCTCAAATACCTGCAACAGCTAAATCTGGACCAGGCAGAAGCCAGAAGTCAGGAATATCCATTTTCATTCCAGGTCTCCCCTGCGGGCAGCAAGGATCCAAGCACTTCAGCCACCACCTGCTGCTTCCCACAGTGCACATTAGCAGAAGTTGGACCGGGAGCGGAGCCAGGACTTCAACCTAGGCAGAACCAGGACTCGCACCCAGGCACTCAATGTGGGAGTCCCCTGCACCCGTGTGCTGCCATCTGAACAGCGGCATCAAACACGGCACCCCAACTTCCTGTCAACTTCCACACAAACATTGCTTGTATCTGGGTCTGTGTCTTAACATAATGACATCTAATCCCACCTATTTTGCTGCAAATGTCAGGATTTCATCTGGTTTTGTGGTGGAATACATTCCACTGTGTGTCTAAGCCAAGTACTGTTCATCCATGTGGTTTCATATTATGTGTATTGTGCAGTAGTGCAGCAAGAGACGTGGGAGTGCAGGTATCTTTTTCATATTTAAAAAAACTTAATTCCCAGGAAGTTAGAAAAAAAATCCAAGGAGGTCACTTATTTTCTTTCTTCCTCTTCTCCCATGAGTGACATTTTATAACTAAATTTTGTCATTTTTTTTAAAAATATTTATTTATTTGAGTGGCAGAGTTACAAACAGAGAAAGGGAGAGACAGAGAGAGAGGTCTTCCATTTGCTGGTTCACTCCCTAAATGGACCCAGTGGTGGGAGCTGGACCAATCTGAAGCCAGGAGTGAGGAGCTTCTTCCAGGTCTCCCACATGGGCCCAGGGGTCCAGGGACTTGAGTCATCCTCTACTGCTTTCCCAGGCCATCAACAGGGAACTGGATTGGAAGTGCAGCAGCCAGGACTCTAACCAGTGTCCATATGGGATGCCAGCGCCATGGCTGGAGGCTTAGCCCACTATGCCACAGCGCCAGTCCCAATTCTGTCATTTTCAGACAGACTACATTTTGTGAATTTCTGCAGTATTGATTGTAAATGGTACTATATTTTTAACTTCAAATTCTGATATTTGTTGTCAGGTATATGGAAAAGCCACTGGTATCTGTGTGTTGATATTGGACCCAGGACCCTTCCTTTATTTTATTTTTTTTAAGATTTTTTTATTTATTTATTTGAGAGGTAGAGTTATAGACAGTGAGAGGGAGAGACAGAGAGAAAGGTCTTCCTTCTGTTGGTTCACCCCCAAAATGGCTGCTACAGCCAGAGCTACGCCGATCTGAAGCCAGGAGCCAGGTCTCCTGGTCTCCCATGTGGGTGCAGGGCCCAAGCACTTGGGCCATCCTCCACTGCCTTCCAGGGCCACAGCAGAGAGCTGGACTGGAAGAGGAGCACCTGGAACTAGAACCCGGCACCCATATGGGATGCCGGCGCCGCAGGTGGAAGATTAGCCAAGTGAGCCATGGCGTCGGCCCAGAACCCTTCCTTGACATCTTCCATGAACAACTATGTCATTTACAGGGAGTTTTATTTCATTCTTCCCAAACCTTCTATTTTTTCCTTGCCTGCTGTCTAGAACTTCCACGACTATGCTGCCATCCCGTACTGGAGCACTGGGCCCACTTCCCGTCCCGGTTCCTGTGGTTGCACCCAGCACTGCAACAGATGACGGCTCAAGTATCTGGGTCCCAGGTGGGGTCCCGGTGCAGACCCAGGTGGGGCTCCTGACTTCTGGCTTTGGCTGGCCCGGTCCTGGCTTATTGTAGCCATTCGGGGAGTGAACCGCATGAATCTCTCTCTCCCTCTCCCTCTCGCTTCTCTGTCCCTCTTTCAAATAAATAAATCTTTTAAGAAATGGTGAAAGCAGACATTCTTGCTTTGTTACCTATTTAGAGGGACAGCATTTAGTCTCATTTTTTAAAAAAAGATTTATTTATTTATTTATTTGAAAGAGTTATACACAGCGAGGAGAGGCAGAGAGAGAGAGAGAAAGAGAGGTCTTCCATCCGCTGTTTTACTCTTTAATTGGCCGCAACAGCTGGAGCTGCACTGATCCAAAGCTTTAGGAGCCAGGACCTTCCTTTGGGTCTCCCACATCGGTGCAGAGCTGGATCAGAAGTAGAGCAGCAGGGACTCAAACCGGCGCCCATGTGGGATGCCGACACTGCATGCAACAGCTTTACCCACTATGCCACAGCGCGGGCCCCAAGCATTTAGTCTTTTAACATGAGATATGATGTAGATTTGAGGATGTCCCTTTCTAGTCACAGTTCACTGAGTAGTTACTAGAAATAGTTGTTGGATTTTACTAAAAGTTTTTACTCTTTCATATGGGCACCAGTTTGGGTCCTGGCTGCTCCATTTACAATCCAGCTCCCTGCTAACAGGCCTGGGAAAGCAGCAGAGGATGACCCAAGTTGCTGGGCCCCTGCCACGCATCTGAGCGACCAGGAGGGAATTCCTGGCTCTTGACTTCAGCCTGGCCTACACCCCACTGTTGCAGCCATGTAGGGAATAAACCAGCAGACAGATCTCTTCCTCTGTCTCTCCTTTTCTCCCTCTCTCTTTGTTGCTCTATCAAATAAATAAATATTTAAATCCAGTCATCTGGGGAGTGAGCCAGCAGCAGATGGCTCTGTCCCACCCTCTCTCTCTGTAACTCTTTCAAATAAATAACTAAATCTACGAAAGAAAGAGAGAGAGAGAAAGAAGAAACCGGATTTGAATCCATTTAGGATTTAGTCCTAATTTAAGGATTTAGGGTTATGTTTTTTTAATGATAATTTAAGATTTATTTATTTACTTGAAAGTCAGAGTTAAGAAGAGAAAGAAGGAGAGGCAGAGAGAGAGAGGTCTTCCATCCACTGGTTCACTCCCCAACTGGCTGCAACGGCTGGAGCTGTGCTGATCCAAAGCCAGGAGCCAGGAGCTTCCTCCGGCTCTCCCAAGCGGGTGCAGGGGCCCAAGGACTTGGGCCATCTTCTACTGCTTTCCCAGGGCATAGCAGAGAGCTGGATTGGAAGTGGAGCAGCCAGGACTCAAACTGGTGCCCATATGGGATGCCAGTACTACAGGTGGTGGCTTTACCCACTATGCCACAGTGCCGGCCCCGTCATTGGGTATGTTTCTACAGAGTTACAGAATGAGGGACGTGGTCCATCTGCTGCATCACTCCCCAAATGGCCATAATGGCCAAGTCTGGACCAGGCCAAAGCCAGGAGCCAGGAGCTCCATCCAGTCTCCCCGGTAGCTGCAGGAGCCCAAGCACTTGGGCCATCTCCCGCTGCTTTCCCAGGCGCATTAGCAGGGAGCTGGACTGGAAGTGGAGCAGCCGGGACACCAAAGTGGGATGCAGGTGCCGCAGGGGGCGGCTTTACTGGCTCCACCCCAGCACCGGCCCCTTTCTGAAGGCTATTCAGAAGTGAAAGCAATAAAATGGGGTGACAATGCCTCCTTCTAACGCGAAATAAACAGAGTCTCTTCCTCCATATTCCTCCATATTCGATGGGACTACATTGTTCCAGGGCCCTTCCCCGTGTGAGCAATCAGCCCTTCTCAAAGCAGAACCAAGAAAAGCCTCCCCTCTTAAGCAGTGAGGCCAAGTCTCTCTCCCGCTCCCCGTTTACCATCTGACCGCATCTCCCCCCCAACCTCTCAACTCTATCCCACAGAAGTCCAGAGAAAAACACTGTCCCCCAAAGCAGCAACGACTGGGCCTCCCCAAGGTTTGCCACTAGCAAGCTGAATGACTTCAAGAAATGTTTCTTAGTTTTCTACATTTATAAAACGGCACTAGTGCTGAGAAGACAAGCACCTCAGGTTAATTTGTACAACTTCAGAAAAACAAAAGAACCCAGGCTGAGGATCCTGGCCGTGGGAACTGAAGCCTAAGTGCTGTATTCAAACGCTGCGCCCTGTTTAGGTCTGAAAGCACAGCAGAGTTTACACACTGGAACAGCACAGGCTCTGACTGCGGCCTTTCTCAGGCAGCTTCTGTTCTCTTTGCAGATCTGAGACTAGTTTATGTTGTGTAATATCTAAGACCCTCTGGATTGCAGAGAAAAAGCGTAGCGGGTAAAGCCGCCGCCTGCAGTGCCGTTGGAGACCCGGATGCTCCTCTTCCGATCCAGCTCTCTGCTGTGGCCTGGGAAAGCAGTAGAAGATGGCCCAAGTGCTTGGGCCCCTGCACCCGCGTGGGAGACCTGGAAGAAGCTCCTGGCTCCTGATCAGCGCAGCTCCAGCTGTTGCAGCCATCTGGGGAGTGAACCAGCGGATGGAAGACCTCTCTCTCTTCTCTTCTCTTTCTCTCTGTCTCTACCTCAATCTCTGCACATCTGCCTTTCCAATAAATAAGTCTTCCAAAAAAATTAAAACGGCAAACTGCAGCCGCACACGCACCGAGGGGCTCCGCTTCCGTTTCAATCACCTAAATGCCCCACAGGGCGCCGAGTGCCGCGCGCCTCTCCCTCACCGCCCGTCTCTGCGCCAGCACCCCAACTCAAAACTGCAAATCTCACCCCGACCCATACGAGCACCCCCCACCCAGGTCCCACCTCATGATACGCTGGCCACCTGCATTTCTAGATTGCTTGTTTCCCACACCAGATCGCTCCTGGGACCGGCCCCGGGTACTATGTGCCACACGGGCGAACGTCGGAACTGACACAGGACGCCGAGGGGCGCTCGGTTCAGAACGTTCGCGGACGCCCGAGCTACGGCGGAATCCATGTCCTCTCTCCCCAAGAGCAACTGTGACAACAGGAAAGCAGTACCTGAACAGCTACTCCTAACACAACTCCTATCACGTTTGTAACAACAGCAAGGCCTCCGGAGAATCACTGGCCAGGCCACATCGCCTACCCGGCCGCCCTCAGAACACCGTCCCGCGCAGCCCGGCGGCCGGCGCCCGGAAGTGGGGCGCTGTCGGCTGCCGGAAGTGGGCGTGGCCCCAGCGCGGCATGCTGGGACTTGTAGTTCGGGCCCCTCCGCGTGGGCGCGGGTGAGATCCCGAGTGCTGCGCTTGCCGCTGTGGGCTTGCACGTGGGAGGTGAGACGAGCCGTGCCGCGCGCGGGGGTCGCACTGTGTGGGGGTTCCCGCGCGGGGAGTCGCGCTGGGCCTTGGGGGGAGCCGCACGTGTGGCGCGGGGCCGCCCAGTGTTGGGGTGACCCCTTGCCGCTTCGTGGGCCGCGGCTCCTCGCCGGGCCGAGCCCTGGCCTGGCCCCTGCACTCGCCCACGCCAGCCTTTTTTTGCAAGCCAGGACGGGCCTTAACTGCAAGGGAGGTTTCTAGTGGACGTTAGGCCACGGAGAGGGGCCTTCTGCGAGGGACCCAGGTCCCGTTCCCGGAAGCCTTGGGGCAGCTAGAAGCTGTCCGGATGGACAGTGTGCCCCAAGAGCCCCTGCCCTAACTGGAGTCTTCGCGCAGAACGGGCCACGTCCGAGGGAGGACGTGGGCGCTTCGTGGAGCTGCTGGCAGCTTCTCTCTCTCTTTCCCTCCCTCTCTCTTCTCTCTCTCCCTCCCTCTCCCTCACCCCTCCCCCCCTCTCTCTCCAGGAATCCGCCCGTCCCTGAGAGGCCCAGGTGAGCCCGGGTTTCTGTCTCCATATCTAGATGGTGGGTTGCTGTCTGCTCTGTGGTTGGATTTCAGTGCGCGACATAAGGCATTGTGTAGACGGGTTTTTAGGAACGGGTTGATATGGGGTGGGGGGTGGAATCTGCAGGTGGTCTCACCGGGCTCAGCACGGGTGTCTGCTGATTTTGACGTACACATGAGTGACTCGGTGACCCTGGGCCACTCCTTAAGAGCACCAGGCTCCACTCTTCTGGCCAAAGATTCCCTGGGGCGTCTCTCTGGTCCCTTCCAATAGAGCCTGCCAGACACTGCCAGCTGTCCCGGGCTCCGTCTAGCGCTCAGTGGTCTCCAGATCACGGAGCTGGCCCTCTTGCTGAGTGGGTGACGGGTCCAGAAACACTGCGTGCTAATGGTCATCATTTGTTAGCCACGGAAGTGTTAAAATCATGAGAAAAGGTGCAAAATGGAAGCACGGTGATTTTTTTAAAAAATCACTCTACTAAAATGCCCCTCAGCCAGGCAGTGCATCAGGTTGTCTGCGGTGACTTTTAGGAATTAGGGTTCCTAGCCGTCTCCTCTGAGCCCACTGTTGTTATCTCGATAGTCAAAGATTCATCATGAAGTGGGTCCCTCGTACCTGATGCAAGGGTCTATACCATAGGTGAGAGGAGTCACTCATCTTCGTTTAAAGATTTATTTATTTGAAAGGCAAAGTTACACAGAGAAAGGAGAGGCAGAGACACAGAGAGAGAGAGAGAGAGGTCTTCCATCCACTGGTTCACTCCCCAGTTGGCCGCAATGGCTGGAGCTGCGCCAATCTGAAGCCAGGAGCCAGGAGCTTCTTCCCTGGGTCCCCGCCACCCACGTGGGAGACCAGATGAAGCTCTTGGCTCCTGGCTTTGGTCTGGCTCAGCCCTGGCCACAGTGGCCATCTGTGAAGTGAAGCAGAAGATGGGAGATTCTCTCTCTCTCCTTTTTTTGTGTAACTCTGACTTTCAAATAAAGAAATAAATCTTAATCCCCCCAAAAAATGTAGGTTTTTAAAAAAGTAATACATTTGCTTAGGTAAAGCAAATTGTATCAAAAGACAAATACTGTTCTACGGGGACCAGTGCTGTGGCACAGCAGGTAAAGCCACAGCCTGCAGTGCCAAATTCCCCTATGGGCATTGGTTCCAGACCCAGCTGCTCCGCTTCCGATCCAGCTCTCTGCTATGGCCTGAGAAAGCAGTAGTGATGGCCCAAGTCCTTAGGGCCCTGAACCTGCGTGGGAGACCTGGAGGAAGCTCCTGGCTCCTGACTTCTGACTTCTAGCTCTTAGCTTCCGATTGGCCCAGCTCTGGTCATTGTAGCCATCTGGGGAGTGCACAGCGGATAGAAGACCTCTCTCTCTCTCTGCCTTTGTCTCTCTATAACTCTGCCTTTCAAATAAATAAATAAATCTTTAAATAAAAAAAAAAAAACTGTTCTAGGGGCTGGCATTGTGGCATAGTAGGTAAAGCCTCCGCTTGCAGTGTTGGCATCCCATATGAGTACCAGTTCAAGTCCTAGCTGTTCACTTCCCATCCGGCTCCTTGTTAACACATCTGGGAAAGCAGTGCAAGATGGCCCAATTGTTGAGCCCCTGCACCCGCGTGGGAGACCCAGAAGAAGCTCCTGGCTTCAGTTTAGCCCAGCTCTGGCTGTTGTGTTCATTTGGAGAGTGAACCAGCAGAGAGAAGTGTGTGTGTGTGTGTGTGTGTGTGTGTCCGTCCATGTCCATGTCCATGTCCATGTCCGTCCTCCTCTCCTGTGTAACTGTGCCATTCAAATCTTTTAAAATGTTCTGCCTGCTCTGCAGGCCATGATGAGGTTGCTCAAAGGCACTGGGGTGTTGTTGTTGTTGTTATTTTTAATATAAAAACCAGAGACAGAGCTGCCATCAGCTGGTTCACTCCTCAGATGCCCACAGCATTGCAGGCCAGGCCAGGCTGAGCCTGGGGCTGGGGACTCAGTCTAGGTCTCCCGTGGGGGTCTTGGTCCTTTCACTTGTTCCTTACTGAGTTTTCCTCCATAGTTCAACTAATATGCTCTGGACAGCTATTTGTTTTCTCTTTTTTTAAGGTTTTATTTATTTATTTGAGAGGTAGAATTACAGAAAGAGGGAAAGACAGAGAGAGGTCTTCCTTCCGCTGGTACACTCCCCAGATGGCTGCAACAGCCAGAGCTGCGCCAATCTGAAGCCAGGAGCCAGGAGCTTCTTCCTGGTCTCCCACATGCGTGCAGGGGCCCAAGCACTTGGGCCATCTTCCACTGCTATTCCAGGCCACAGCAGAGAGATGGATTGGAAGAGGAGCAGCTGGGACTAGAACTGGTGCCCATATGGGATGCTGGCACCACAGGCGGAGGATTAACCTGCACCACGGCACCGGCCACCCTATTTTCTCTTTTTTAAGACTGAATGCGTTCACATGGTTTCAAAAAGCATAGCAAAGTTGACCGTGAACCCTTTCTTTCACGTCCGCAACTCCTGTCCCCCCAGGATCCAGTCATCGGCCTTTCACGCCCTCCTGCAATGAGTAAGGTCATGTAGGCGTCACTTCACTGCTGTGCCTGGAACTCGGAGGAAACCTCCACATGGAGTGCTGAGGGCACACAGGAAGTATCCGACCTTCGCGGTGGGTGACGCCAGTATACACTCAAGCAGTGTGTCTTCAGTGTGACAGGGTTGCATCGCTCACAAACCCTGCAGATGCAGAGAAAGCTTTCATCCAGTGGGTCACTTACCATATGCCTGCAATAGCTGGGGCTGAGCCAGCCAGGAGCCAGGAACTCAGTCTGGGTCTGTCCTGTCGGTGGCAGGGGCCTGACTACTGGAGCCATCACTGCTGCCTCTCATGCCGCTGTACTGTCAGGAAGCTGGACTCCAGCCCAGGCGCTTCATACAAGAATGTGGGCATCCTAAGGGGCATGGTAAGCATGCAGCAATATCACTCCTCCCCAAAGTCTCTGTCATGCACTTTGAGGTTGGAAATTTAATCAAATTACAGTGTGTCAAAGTGGGGCCTTTGGGGGCTGGTGCTGTGGCACAGCAGATAAAACCGCCTTCTGTGGCGCCGGCATCCTATACGGGCGCTGGTGCAAGTCCCGACTGCTCCTCTTCCAACCCAGCTCTCTGCTGTGGCCTGGGAAAGCAGTAGAAGATGGCCCAAGTCCTTGGGACCCTGCACCCACCTGGGAGACCTGGAAGAAGCTCCTGGCTCCTGGCTTCAGATCCACACAGCTCCAGCCGTTGCGGCCAACTGGGGAGTGAACTAGCAGATGGAAGACCTCTCTCTCTCAGCCTCTGCCTCTGCCTCTCTCTGTGTAACTGCCTTTTAAGTAAATAATTAAATCTTTTTTTTAAAAAAAAAAAGCAAGATTCAGTAAGAAGGGCCCCACCCCAATGTAGCTGACCTTCATCACTTTCCAAAGGCCCCATCTTATTTTGTTAAAAGATTTATTTATTTATTTGAAAGAGTTACACAGAGAGAGAAGGAGAGGCAGAGAGAGAGGTCTTCCATCTGCTGGTTCACTCAAACCGGCGCCCATATAGGTTGCCCACATCACAGAAGGCGGCTTTACCTGCTACGTCACAGCGCTGGCCCCAGTGTCACTTTGAGTTTATGATATACGCTCCTTCTCACCTTACCAGCGTTGAATATTTTCTGTTAACTTCCCCATATCATTGGGGAGGGTAACAGCTGTTTCACATTCCCTCCCCCAGTGTGTCCATTCTCCCACAATCTGTCAATCTTATCAGCAATGAATGTTTTTACTGCTCGACTTTGGAGTTACTGTTCATTGTGGAGTCTTGCAGTATGCTGTGATGGCAGTTCTCCCCTCCTGAAGCCAATATTTCATTCTGTACTGTTGTTATATCTTCTGCCTGTTGCACTGGCATCCCATATGGGTACCAGTTCTAGTCCCGGCTGCTCCACTTCCCATCCAGCTCTCTGCCGTGGCCTAGGAAAGCAGTGGAAGATGGCCCAGGTCCTTGGGCCTTTGGACCCATGTGGGAGACCTGGAAGCTCCTGGCTTCGGATTGGTACAGCTCCAGCCTTTGCAGCCATTTGGGGAGTGAACCAATTGAGGGAAGACCTCTCTCTCTCTGTCTCTCCCTCTTTCACTCTGCCTCTCAAATAAATTAATAAAATATTTAAAATTTTAAAAAAAGATTTCTTTATTTGAAGGAGGTACAGAGGAGAAGCCTTCATTTGGTGGTTTACTCCCAAGATGGCCACGGCAGCCAGGGCTGAGCCACACAGGTGCCAAGAGCTTCATCCAGTCTCCCACATGGGTAGCAGGAGCCCGAGTCCTTGGGCCGTCCTCCACTGCCTTTCCTAGGCCATTAGCATGGAGCTGGATTGGAACTGGAGCCAGCATTGCAGGTGGCACCTTTACCTGCCATACCACAACATCAGCCCCTTATTGCTATTTCTTCTTTTTTTTAATTTAAAATTTTTTGTGCTGCTTTACATTCCTGAGCTGTTGAATCCTTTCTTACCCGAAAAAGTGTGAGGGGTGAAGAGCTCCTTCAAGATGGGCTTTTAATTAAAAAAAAAAAAAAAAAAAAAGATTTATTTACTTATTTGAAAGTCAGTGTTACAGAGAGCAGGAGAAAGAGAGAATCTTCTGTCCACTGGCTTACTACCCAGATGGCCACAACGGCCTGCCACATGGGTAGCAGGGATCCAGGTTCGTTGGCCATCTTCCGCTGCTTTTCCCAGGCTATTAGCAGGGGCCGGCGCTGTGGCATGGTGGATGAAGCCACTGCCTGCAAGGCCTGCATCCCATATGGGCGCCGGTTCAAGTCCCGCTGCTCTACTTCCGATCCAGCTCTCTGCTGTGGCCTGGGAAAGCAGAAGATGGCCCAAGTCCTTGGGCTCCTGCACCCTCATGGTGCAGAAGAAGCTCCTGGCTCCAGATCGGTGCAGCTCCAGGCATTGCGGCCAACTGGGGAGTGAACCAGCGGATGGAAGGCCTCTCTGTCTCTCTCTCTGTGCCTCTCTCTCTGTGTAACTCTGACTTTCAAATAAATAAATAAATCTTTAAAAAAAAAAAAAATGGAGCAGCCAGGACACAAAACAGCGCCCACAGCAGATCCTGGCACTGCAGGCAGTGGTTAAGCCCACTGTGCCACAGTGCCAGCCCCGGTTACTTTTATCTTTCCATTTTTCCGTCCTGTTACTCTTCATTCTAGGAGAGCCTTTCCAACTTCCGATTTCACCATGTCTCCTTTGGCTATGCAACCCATTTAGATTGGAGGCCTTAGAATAAGACAGCGTAGCGCTATGAGACCAGCTACCTGACCTCTTTCAGCCTGGGTTTCCTCGCGTGTGAGACTGGAGTCCTAACCATTCTTTCCGTGTGTGGTCGTGTCACCAAAGCTTCAGCGCTTCCGTTGGCACAGTAGGTGTTCAGTCATTTTCCCAGCTTCGAAGTAGTGTGATTACTGCTCATTGCCATGTTGGTAGTGCATTAGATGGTGTTTAAAAGTGATAGGCGCTCTGCTTTCCCCGGCTTTTTCAGTGATGTACCTTCTAAATGCCATCTCCTCCATTCGCTGTTTCTTCAGTTTGTGCTTGGTAGGTGTCCACCTGTCTGCTGGACATATTTGGAATGCTCACATGATTTTTTCAGAGGTCGTGTGTTGCCAGCCATACTGGAGCACGTATCTTCAGCTGCTGCCCAGCCCACCACAATGCACATGTGTTCCACTTGAGGAGGGAACCAGAGTCCATCGATGGGGCACACGTGCAGCCTAGCAGTTAACGCACTGGTCGCGAGCCGGCCTCCCACATCACAGGGCCTTCGATTCCATAACCGACTCTGGCTCCTGACTCCAGCTTCCTGCTAATGCAGACCCTTGGAGGAGCAGCTGATGGCTCAAGTGATGGGTCCCTGCCTCCCATGCGGGAGACCTGGCTTGAGTTGCTGGCCCAGTCCAGCCCCAGCTGTCAAAGGCATTTGGGGCGTGGACCAGCAGAATGGGAGCGTTCCTTGTCTCTCTGCCTCTCAAATAAGTAAATAAAAATTAAAGGGAAAAAATCACTCCACCTGAGGGCGCTGTGCAGGCTGCTGCTTAAGTCAGTGTCAGCTGGCTACCAGGAGCATGCCTGCCACCCTGGCCCCAGCTCTGAGCTGCAGTCGGCCCTGTTCAGAACACCCTCAGGCTCTGTCCTGGACGTATGTGGGATTGATTGTTTTCTCTGTAGGTCCAGCATTTACATCCACCTCCGCTTCTCCCCTCACCCCAAATTATTCCTTTTTTGGCAGATTATTTATTTTGTTCTGGAGGCCTTCTCCTGGGCCGCTGCTGGTAGCCACCCAGGATTTTTGGTTTTGGGTTTTTTTGTCGGGCAACTAGTTTAGCTAAGGCCAGCCTCTAGCCCAGCCATTAGGAATCCTGCCTCGAACATCCGTTTCTTGGATGAAGCTGCCTATGATTGTTGAGTCTGAATCTGGAATCTGAATTTCTAGGACTTGGTGAGAAGACTGCTCCCCCTCGCTGAAGGCTTATCCTGCACACCATGTGAGCCGTGCGTTGTTTCCCAGTTTCTCCCCCGGTCCCCTGGTGACGGCAGCCTGTCTGATCTTCAAGACTAATAGGGACTTCTTTTTTGCCATTTCATTGTGTTATGAGGATTCCCCTCCTGTTCTGACCAGCATACACAGCAGTAAACTCTGTCTCCTAACACACTCTGCCCTCGCTGCTGAGCGGACAGTGCCGGAGGAAGGTGCCCCCAGCACCACAGGTGAGACGAGTCCAGTTTTGTGTTCTGTCATCTGTGTCCCCTCCTCACTCAGCCTTCTGAGCTTGCATTTCCCGTGCTGGGACGTGCCACCACGGCACCCACTCAGGCAGGGAACCAGCAGCACGCGTGGCACCTGCTTCCCCTTGCTGCCTCTAGATTCGTCATCTGAGATAGAGAGCAGATGTCCCCATTTCTCTGCACAGCCTTCATCCGTTCCTTCGCTTGTCTGTCTCTGCCCAGAGTTTGCATTCCAGTGGTATTTGTCATCAAAGAAAGTTTTAGAATTCTCTTTGAATTTAAATTTACAAATGTTCAGTCTCCCGCAGTGTAGCCCTCTGTAGTAGACCCCAAGCCTTCCACTCTGGTTCCTGCCTCCCTTTCTACCACCGTAACCTTTTTTTTTTTAAGCTCCTCAAGCAGCTGCTTGTATTTCCTGAACATGTCTGTATTTTTTTTGTCCTGTCAGTTTGTCCCAGAAATCTTCCCAGGGCCCTCAGGCTTGAGCTGAGTGCCCCTGCCCTGGGCTCGCGTGGTTTCTCATGCCTGTATCTCCTGTATTGTGTTGTACCGTACATGGACTGACGTGCTTAAATCCAGAATGCTCTGAGACCTGCAACTTCACGGACTCAGAAGTTTTCGCGTTTGGTGTCATTTGGGTTGGGGTGTTCAGCTGGCAATGTCTATGCAGATACTCCAAAATCCAAAACTCCTGGGGCCGGTGCTGTGGCACACTGGGTTAACGCCCTGGCCTGAAGCGCAGGCATCCCATATGGGCGCCGGTTCGAGTCCCGGCTGCTCCACTTCCAATCCAGCTCTCTGCTGTGGCCTGGGAAAGCAGTAGATGATGGCCCAAGTCCTTGGGCCCCTGCACCCATGTGGGAGACCCAGAAGAAACTCCTGGCTCCTGGCTTCGGATCAGCACAGCTCTGGCCGATGCAGCCAATTGGGGAGTGAACCAGCAGATGGAAGACCTCTCTCTCTCTCTCTCTCTCTCTCTCTCTGCCTCTCCTCTCTTTGTGTAACTCTTTCAAGTAAATCAATAGATCTTTAAAAAAAATTAAAAAATTAAAAAAAAAAATCCAAAACTCCTGGCAGGCAGACACAGCGCTGCTTCGCAGCCGCTCGGAAAGGGACACCCCCGCGTCGTCACCCGCGCTGTCACCCGCGCTGTCACCCGCGCTGTCACCCGCGTCGCCACCCGCGTCGCCACCCGCATCGTCACCCGCGCTGTCACCCGCGTCGTCACCACGTCGTCACCTGCGCTGTCACCCACGCTGTCACCCGCGTCGTCACCCACACTGTCACCCGCGCCGTCACCCGCGTCGTCACCCGCGCTGTCACCCGGGTGTATCGTGCTTGCTGTGTTTCTCCTTCCCTGGAGGCTGCAGCTTGTGAAGCAGCAGGGTTTCTGTTTTCTTCCTGTGTCCCCAACACCGAGGCAGTTGGACTACCAATTCAGTGCAAAGTGAAATGAAATGTTTGTGGTGAGGATAAACGATTCATGGCCCCTTCTGCAGGAACCACGAAGGGACACTTCACTGGCCGTGCTTAAAAGTGAAGAGAATTTCTCTCTGCCACACCCCAGGTCTTACCCCTGGCGTTAAGCCTGACCTTTCTCCTAGGTGAAAGTCCTCAGGCCTCGAGCACTCCAGTTCTGAAATCTTGAACTCTTTGTTTGATCACTGAATTCTTTGTTCCCTAGGAGACTTGAGTGACAGTCCTCTGGAGCATCCTCCAAAGAAAGGAAGAGACGGCCAGGACCGGAAGTAGGCGTCAGGATCATGCTGTGAGTCTTCAAGGGGAAGTGCCCAAGAACCCTGAACCGGATCTCGCCCCCATGTGGGAAACGGAGAGAATATTTCCAGCAGCAGGAGCGGTGTGGTGACCCGTTACACTGATGGCTTCAAAAAGGTGGAGAGAGAAAACCACCTGGCCTTGAAAGTGGGGAGCCAAATGGCCACAGGGGACCCTGCAGTGCAGCTCTGCCAGGACGAGCCCCAGGGAACAGGCAGTCTCGCGGTGACTGAGGAGAGCCCCGAGAGGGAAGCGGCAAGGGGATCCCGTCCTCCCACGGAGCGCTGTCCAGAGAACCTTCACCTTAGACTTGGGTCTGACGTCACAGAGCTGGGCTCGCCCTTGGGCCGGGGTGAGGTGACCGGCCACAGCGGCCAGCCGAAAGAACGTTTGGGTCCCTCGGAATATAACTGCCAGGACCTTCCCAAATGGAAGTCACAATCAGTCAGCTGTAGCCAGCAGGAGGTTCCCACAGAGGAGCAATCCTGTGCCCGTGGCAGCCGTGGGAAAGCACTCCACCCCGGCCCCAACGGCCATCCGCGAGAGAAAATCCACTCGGTGGCGGCGAAGCTGTTCAGATGTGGTCGGTGTGGCGAGGACTTCGGTCAGAACTCAGAGCTGCTGCTCCACCAGCGAGGCCACACACAAGAGAAGCCCTACAGGTGTGAGCAGTGCGGCAAGGGCTTCACCAGGAGCTCCAGCCTGCTCGTCCACCAGGCCGTGCACACAGACGAGAAGCCCTACAAGTGCGACAAGTGCGGCAAGGGCTTCACCAGGAGCTCCAGCCTGCTCATCCACCACGCGGTGCACACCGGCGAGAAGCCCTACAAGTGCGACAGGTGCGCCAAGGGCTTCAGCCAGAGCTCCAAGCTGCTCATCCACCAGCGCGTGCACACCGGGGAGAAGCCCTACGAGTGCGGGGAGTGCGGGATGAGCTTCAGCCAGCGCTCCAACCTGCACATCCACCAGCGCGTGCACACCGGCGAGAGGCCCTACAGGTGCGCCGAGTGCGGCAAGGGCTTCAGCCAGAGCTCCAACCTGCACATCCACCGCTGCGTCCACACCGGCGAGAAGCCCTACCAGTGCTACGAGTGCGGCAAGGGCTTCAGCCAGAGCTCGGACCTGCGCATCCACCTGCGGGTGCACACCGGCGAGAAGCCCTACCACTGCGGCAAGTGCGGCAAGGGCTTCAGCCAGAGCTCCAAGCTGCTCATCCACCAGCGCGTGCACACCGGCGAGAAGCCCTACGAGTGCGGGCAGTGCGGCAAGGGCTTCAGCCAGAGCTCCAACCTGCACATCCACCAGCGCGTGCACAGGAAGGAGCCCCGCTAAGGACAGGAGCTGGCGCGTGGACCGGAAGGACTGCGTTCTTCACCTCACTCTTCCTCGTGCTCCAGAGGGGAGAGAGGGAGGAAGGGTCGCTCAGATAAGTTCCTTCACGGAAACAAAACCATTCACTCACTCACTCACTCATTGTTCTAAGTACCAGGCACTTTATTATGCTGCACACCTGTGGATCTCCCTGGACCCTCAGCTAGGTAGAGTGACAGCATCCGTACCTTACAATTTGGTCTGTTTGGAACCGTACGTTCTACCCAGTGTTGCCAACAAGGAGAGCTTGGTATCTGTCCAAGCAGGGCATGTCTGCCCTTATCCACGTTACCTGAGAAGTTGCAATCGGATTTCTCCTCAGATCGGGTGCCTTGTGTTCTTGGTGTTTTCTGAGACAACATCTGGTTTTTCCGTTTTTGGCCTAGGATGTATGGGAGAAAACTGCAGAGGCTGTGGAAATCTCTTGTTTATTGCAATACTGCACCGCGGTCTGTGGCCACACAGCAAGGAGGTGGAAAAGGCCACTTCCGTACACTACTTCTAATGGGACATGGAGTGCCCCTCCCCCCAGGCAGCTGTTCAGAAATACAGGTAGTTCTTTTTCATGGGTACAAGCTAGTTTATTGGGAAATTTTCTAATCTCCCCACCTCATACGTGCTCCCCACACACACCATGCTGAAACATGGCAAATGAAGTTGATTTTATTTAAATATATTTAATGCCCCTCCCAGCACTTCCGCATCCAGTTGTCTTAATTTATTTCACCACCCCATGCCCTGAGCAAAACAAAGAACTCCGGCATTTTTCTTTCTGAGTGTTCTTTAATGTCTCACGTACAGTGCCCTAAAAACGTCATTTGTTTTACCCACTCCTTAGACCTCACTATAGACAACTAATTTCTTTCTGTTATTTTTGTATTTGCTTAATAATATGTCACATGAAAGTAGCTACATAGATGTTTTTAGCCACATTTGGAGAATATATTGAGAAGAGGACTAAAAACATGTGCCCTATCACTTACTTCCCTCGGGGTGTGGATGGCATTGGTGTGGCTATAGGACCCCCCACAGCAAGGCATTCGGCCTGTGGGAGTTAACACGGAACTGACTGCCATCATGTAACTACACAGGAAGTTACCGTGCAGTGGGCTGCTAATTGCAACTCATGACTGCTCACGCAGTGCTGCTTAAAGACCCCAGTTCGCTCCCATAACTAGTCTCCCTGTTTTAAAAGAACCAGGTAGGACACATGTCTACTAGCTCAGGAAGGTGGAGTTGTAGCGGATGCCCAGACTAAGGGTGATCTGAAGCACGTAGCGCTAAGGACGTACCAGGTCACCAACTCCAGGGAAGCAGTTACTCCCAGAAAAAGGAATGAAGGAGGGAAGCAGGGTGCGTGACACACATCTGCTTTCCTTCGAGAGAGACTCTTGGACTGGCTCCAGCCCTGAACAGTCTGTGGGGGAACGATTCTGGGTGGTGGCTTAGCATCTGCCTTGGGCTCTGCAGAGTAGCCTTTGTTCAGGCAGCACCACAAGTGCTTTGTGGATGAGGTCTCAGATTCCAGCCGCCCTCTGAAGACATGATGGCTTTGACTTCCCTGTCACACCGGCCTTCGAATTGATTAACGTGATCTAACTGGAATTGGGAGCCATGTCAAGTATAAAGAACCCGTGGACACAGAGGCCACGGCATAGGGCTGAAGTCAGTCCCAGACATAAAACTGTTTTTCCAGATTTCCTTTTATATGTAATTTTGAGTCATCAAATTTTTGTTTTAAGATTTGTTTGTTTATTTGAAAGGCGGAGTTACAGAGAGGCAGAGGCTGAGACAAGTCTTCCATCTGCTGGTTCACTCCCCAGATGGCCGCAATGACCAGGGCTGGGCCAGACCAAAGCAAGGAGCTTCATCCAGGTCTTCCATGTGGGTGTGGGGGCCCACCCACACTTGGGCCATCTTCCACTGCTTTTCCCAGGCCATTAGCAGGGAGCTGGGTCAGAAGTGGAGCAGCTGGAGCTTGAACCAGCACGCTTATCACCAGCCCTGAGTTGTTAATGTTTTAACTATTTTAACTAGCTATTGCTGTTCTCTCTTAGGCATTATCTTCCTTTCTTTAAATTTATATTTTAAAAGATTCATTTTTATTTGAAAGGCAGAGAGAGGGAGAGATTTATCTTCCAGTCACTGGTTCACTTCCCAAATGGCCACAACAGCCAGGGCTGGGCCAGGCCAAAGCCAGGAGCCTGGAACTCCATCTGGGTCTCTCACATGTGTAGAGTGGGCCTGAGTACCCAGGCCAACTTCCACTACTTTCCCAGGTGCATTAGCAGAGAGCTGGATGGGAACCAAAGCAACTAGGATGCTATCCAGTGCTCAATACAGGATGCCAGCATTCCACGCAGCGGTTTAACCATCTGTGCCATAACTCCCGTCGTATTATCTTCCTTAATTCAGTTGATATAATCTGTGTGCTTAGGGAACATGTCACTGGTTGTGGGAAGGAAGTTGGAGGAAAAGACTAAATCTAAAAAAGAGGGACTTGTGTGTGCAAATGCACACAGAAGGAACAATGGCAAGCCATTTGGAAAACAATGTGGCTGTTCTTACAAAGTGAGACACTTAGCTCACAGCATGGCAAACCCACTCCACAGTGTCTACTCCAGTAGGGGAAACGCTCCCATCCACAGCCTTTACACAAGGGCTCATGGTTTACTCTAATAGCCATAACCTTCAGAATGGACACAACCTGAGTTGTGAAAGTGAAAGTGAAAACAGATTGCAGGGGCTGCTGTGGTGGCCCCACAGTTACCCTGCTGCCTGCAATGCCAGCATCCCCTATCAGAGCACCGGTTCAAGTCCCAGCTAGTCCGTGTCTGAGCCGCTCCCTGCTAACAAGCCCGGGAAAGCAGTGGAAGATGGCCCAAGTACTTGGGTCCCTGCTACCTACATGGGATACCTGGATGGAGTTCCTGGCTCTTAGCTTCAGCTGGGCCCAGCCCTGGCTGTTGCAGACATTTGGAGAATAAACCAGCAAATGGAAGATCTCTTCTCTGTTTCTCCATGTCTCTCTCTCCCTTTCTCTTTCTGCCTTGCAAATAAGATGAATATAAACAAAATTTTAAAAAAAGATGAAGAAAAGCAAAGAAATGGGCAAAGTATTTCAGGCAAAAGCAAAAGCCCTATTGGTATTACAATGGAGTCTCAGGCTTAATCCTCAACTTTATGACATGAAAAAACCAGATATCATATGATAAATAGCAAAATTAGTTAAGAAGACAAGTCATATTGTTACACACCTAAATACAAAATCAACTGCTACCTTAGTGATATAAAGCAAACTACTGAATAAGGCAAGATACCTCTTCAACTTATGACAGGTGGAAGAAATAAAAATAAGCAAAGGTAACTCTCAAGTGGTATACTACAGAAAATATTTTATTCTAAAATAATACTGAGGGAAAATTTGCAAAATTTGCTGCACTATTAATGATATCTAAAATTTAATGTTGTTTATTTTCATTTGAAAGCAGAGAATCTTCCACCCACTGATTCACTCCCCAAAGGCTGGAGCCTGAAGCCAGGTCCAAGTCTCCCGTTAAGTGGCAGTGACCCAAGCATCTGAGACATTGTCTGCTGCTTCCAGGGTGCACTTAGCAGGAAGCCAGACCAGAAGCCGGGACTCCAGCCAGGCATTCTGATACGGGATACAGGCATCCCAGCAGCCCTTTAACTGCTGCACCCGACGCCTGCTCCTCAGTCATATTGATTCTATGCCAAATGGGTTTCTAAATAGTTTAAACATAACCTAATAATTTCCAATAAACATGTAAAATAGGTACTACCATTGTCCAAAAAGAAGGCATAAGAAAACTAAAGTAAAAAAGCTAAGCAACATGTTGAAGGTGGGAATCAGGTCATCTGACAACATTTTCATCATTAGATCATATGCTGGTCACCAAGAAATTCTAGAAGTAAGACATTGTTAGAAGTAAATTTTGTGACACTATATCCTCAATTATGAACTATAAAAGCAAAGGAGTAGATTACCTAGGATATAGACTAAAAAGAAGAAATTATGCCCTAAGTAAAATTTCAGGCCTTAGGTAGATATAAAAATCCAAGTAAGGGACCAGCATTGTGGTGTAGCAAGTAAAGCCACCACCTGCAACGCTAGCACCCCATATGGGTGCCACTTCCAATGCCTGCTGCTCCACTTCTGATCCAGCTCTCTGCTATGGCCTGGGAAAGCAGCAGAACATGGCCCAAGTCCTTGGGCCCCTGCACCCACGTGGAAGACCTGGAAGAAGCTCCTGGCTTCAGCCTGACCCAGCTCTGGCTGCTGCAGCCAATTGGGGAGTGAACAAGTGGATGAAGTTCTCTCTCTAACTCTTTCAAATAAATAAATAAATCTTAAATATATACATATATATACATACACACATTAGGAATATTGCCGAAGTTGAACAATTTACAGAACTCTAAAAATTGAATTCGTTAGTACATTGCTTTAAGATTTTTCCTAGGGTCGGTGCTGTGGCGTAGCAGGTAAAGCTACCACCTGTAGTGCCCACATCCCATATGAGTGCCAGTTCAAGTCCCAGCTATTCCACTTCCAATCCAGCTTTCTGCTATGGCCTGGGAAAGCAGTAAAAAACGGCCCAACAAAGGAAGACCTTTCTCTCTGTCTCTCTCTCTCTCACTGTCCACTCTGCCTGTCAAAAATAAAAATAAATAAATTAAATTAAATTAAAAAAAACAGCCCAACAAAGGAAGACCTTTCTCTCTGTCTCTCTCTCACTGTCCACTCTGCCTGTCAAAAAGCTCCTGGCTTCAGATCAGCTCAGCTCTGGCCATTGTGGCCATCTGGAGAGTGAACCAGTGGATGGAAGCCTTCTCTCTGTCTCTACCTCTCTAACTCCTTCAGATAAAATACATCTAAAAAATAAAAAAAAAAAAAAGTGACCCATAACACTTCATTTATTGTCTCAGGCTCCACAGTTTTTCTCCCATATGAGACAGAGATAAGCCTTATAAAGGCTGAACACCCCTAATCCAAAAATCCTCCAAAAAAACATTTTTGAAGGCCAACACGTTGCCAGAAGTGGAGAATCCCACACCTGACCTTGTGACAGATCACAGAGGGATCACTGGCGTAATACCCATCATGTACAATCACTGGGACAGGCACTGTGGCACAGCAGCACAACACCAGGATCCACGTGCAGTGCTGCTTCGAGTCCCAGCTGCTCCACTTCCAATCCAGCTCCCTGCTAATGGCCTGGGACAGCAGCGGAAGGTGGCCCAAGTGCTTGAGCCTCTGCCACCCACATGGGAAACTCAAACTTTGGCCTGGCCCAGCCCCTGCCATTATGGCTATTTGGGGAGTGAACGAGAGAAAGGAAGTGTTTGCTAGCTTGCTCGCTCTCATCACTTGGGACACCCACACCCCATAAAGGAATTCCTGGCTATGAGTCCCATCTCTGCCTTCCATGCCAGCTTCTTACGAATGCACATTCTAGGACACAGCAGGTGACACCTGTGAGGGGCTGAATCAAGTTCCCATCTCCTAGTTCAGCCTGGCCCAGCCCTGGCTGTTGTGGGCACTTGAGGAGTGAACCAGCTTGACTGGAGCATGCAGGCCCTCTCTCTTCCTCTGTCTTTAAAATATCTTGTTCTTAAAAAGAGGTCTAAGAAGGCTGGCACCGCGGCTCAATAGGCTAATCCTCCACCTATGGTGCAGCAGCCATTGGGGGGTGAACCAACAGAAAAAGGAAGGCCTTTCTCCCTGTGTCTCTCTCACTGTCCACTCTGCCTGTCAAAAAAAAAAAAAAAAAGAGGTCTAAGACACTGAAGAGTATATACAGGTGGTAAACAAGGACATGGAAAGATATTCAATATCAGCCACTAGGGAAGTATAAATTAAAGCCACATTTGTGGGGTGGGCATTTAGCAGATTGAGCCACTGCCTGGGATGCCCTCATCCCATATCAGAGTAGCTGGTTCCAGTCCTGGTTACTCCATGCTTCTGATCCAGCTTCTGCTAATCCACCTGGGAGGCGGCAGATAACAGCCACAAACTTGGGTTTCTGTCACCCACCCGGGAGACCCAAATGGAGCTTCAGCCCGGCCTAGTCCTGGCTGTTGCAGACATTTGGGGAGTAAATCTGTGGATAGAATCTCTCTCTCGCTTTCGGCCGGAGCCGCCATCTTCCAGTAATTCGCCAAGATGACGAACACAAAGGGAAAGAGGCGAGGTACCCGGTACATGTTCTCCAGGCCTTTCAGAAAACATGGAGTTGTTCCTTTGGCCACATACATGCGCATTTACAAGAAAGGTGACATTGTGGACATCAAGGGAATGGGTACTGTTCAAAAAGGAATGCCCCATAAATGTTACCATGGAAAAACTGGAAGAGTCTACAATGTTACCCAGCATGCTGTTGGCATTGTTGTAAACAAACAAGTGAAAGGCAAGATTCTTGCCAAGAGAATAAATGTGCGTATTGAACACATTAAGCACTCTAAGAGCAGAGATAGCTTCTTGAAACGTGTGAAGGAAAATGATCAGAAGAAGAAGGAAGCCAAAGAGAAGGGTACCTGGGTTCAACTAAAGCGTCAGCCTGCTCCACCCAGAGAAGCCCACTTTGTCAGAACCAATGGAAAGGAGCCTGAGTTGCTGGAACCCATTCCTTATGAATTCATGGCATGATAAATGTAAGATAAATAAATAAGACCTAATTGAAAAAAAAAAAAAATCTCTCTCTCTCTCTCTCTCTCACTCTGCCTTTCAAACAAACTTAAAAAAAAAAAAACTACACTGATATATTACTATACACCTATCAAAATGACTAAACCAAAAAACAGTGGTAAACCAAACGCTGGTGAGAGTGTGGAGACACTTAATCACCCCCACATTATTGGAATATAACACAGAACAGTCGCTTGGAGAAAGTCAGGCAGTTTCTTTGAAAAATAAACATGAAACTATTGCAGGACTCTGCTTATTTTTTTTTTTTCTGCCAGAATCATATTTCATGTCCAGGAATAATGAGGATGGACAAGGAAGAGAGTATAAAGTAGAAGTGGTTCATTCAAAGAAAGCAGAGGGTTGGGGCCAGCGCTGGCAAGTGGATTAAGCCATATCTCATATACCCAGCTCATGTTCCAGCTGCTCCACTTTTGATCCAACTTCCTGCTAATGCACCTGGGAAAGCAGAAGTTGGACCAAGTGCTGGGACCCCTGCACCCAGCTGGGAGACCTGGATGAAGCTCCTAGCTACAGCTTGGCCATTCCAGCCATCTGGGGAGTGAACCAGCAAATGGAAGACCTCTCTCTATATGTATATGTAACTACCTTTCAAATAAAATTTAAAAAATCTTAAAAAAAAAAAAAAAAGGGAAAGAAGGCAGAGAAGTTAAAGTAAAAATGAAAGGAACAACACTCTCAGCAATGCCAAGAGGGGTCCCCAAAGGAGAGAGCCCTGAAGGGCTGACTGTCTAGGAATTCTTTTTGTAAGATTTATTTATTTGAGGCCGGCGCCGTGGCTCACTAGGCTAATCCTCCGCCTAGCGGCGCCGGCACACCGGGTTCTAGTCCCGGTCGGGGAACTGGATTCTGTCCCGGTTGCCCCTCTTCCAGGCCAGCTAGCTCTCTGCTGTGGCCAGGGAGTGCAGTGCAGGATGGCCCAAGTGCTTGGGCCCTGCACCCCATGGGAGACCAGGATAAGCACCTGGCTCCTGCCATCGGATCAGCACTGTGCGCCCGCCGCAGTGCACCAGCCGCGGCGGCCATTGGAGGGTGAACCAACGGCAAAGGAAGACCTTTCTCTCTGTCTCTCTCTCTCACTGTCCACTCTGCTTGTCAAAAAATAAAAAAAAAAAAAATGAAAAAAAAAAGATTTATTTATTTGAGAGGCAGAGTTTCAGACAGAGAGGAAGAGAGACAGAGGGATCTTCCATTCACTGGTTCACTCCCCAGATGGCTGCAATGGGTGGAGCTGGGCTGATCTGAAGCCAGGGGCCAGGAGCTTCTTCCGGAACTCCCATCGGTGCAGGGGCCCAGATTGATGGGTTTTATCAGTGTCATTACCCTGGCTGATGCTGTACTATACTTTTGGCAAGATGTTGCCATTAGGGGAAACTGTGTAAAGAGTTCATGGAGGGGCTGGCTCTGTGGCATAGCAGGTAATGCCACCACCTGCAGTGCTGGCATCCCATATGGGCGCTGGTTCAAGTCCTGGCTGCTCCACTTCCTATCCAGCTCTCTCCTAATGTGCCTGGGAAAGCAGTAGAATATGGCTCAAAACCTTGGGCCCCTGCAACCACGTGAGAGACCTGGAAGAAGTTTCTGGCTCCTGGCTTTGGATCGGCCCAACTCTGGCCGTTGTGGCCATTTGGGGAGTGAACCAGTGGATGGAAGACCTCTCTCTCTCTCTCTCTCTCTCTCTCTGTGTGTGTGTGTGTGTCTGCCTGTCCTCCCTCTGTATAACTCTGACTTTCAAATAAATAAATCTTTAAAGAAAAAAACGAAAGATACCAGTTAAGGTGCTTGGTCTCATATAGGAGCACCTGGGTTCACATCCTAGCTCTGCTGCTGACTCCAGCCTCCTGCTGATGCACACCCTGGGAGGCGACAGCCACGACTCAAGTAGCTGGGCCCCCGCTGCGGTGGGAGCCCCGGTCTTCACACTGACCACTGCTAACCGCCCTCTTACCTACTCCATCCCTTTGTCAGCATCTCACCAGGCAGCAGCCGGAAGACAGACAGGAAGAACGTGTGCTGCTTTGTCCAAACCCTGCCAGTGGGGGCAGGCATCTGGCACGGCGGGTACACCACTGGGATGGCCACGCTCCATAGCAGGGGGCTTGGGTTTGAGTTTCAGCTTTATGTCCAATTCCATCTTCCTATTAGCACTCTGCGAGACAGATGATGGATGGCCCAGGTGCCTGGGTCCCTGCCACACACACCCAGCCCTAGCTGTTACAACCATTTGGAGTATGAACCAATGGGTGGAAAAGTGTGTCTCCCTCTGCTTTTCAAATAAATAAGTAAGTAAATGACCTGCTAAGGGCTCCATCTCAGAATAAGATTACTGAGCTTACAGTGACCACCGCAGCTGTCTCTGACCACAGCTCTCGCATGTCCCCTGTCATGCCCTGACCTCTCCCAGCCTGGCTCACCACCGCACACCCTGAACACTCCAGCCTCAGGTTCATGTGCAGCATACACCATCTAGCCACAATGTTCAGAAGCCGCAGTCTCGCTTTCTCCAACTCCGCGTCCAGCACCAAGAGCGACGCTGGAGGAGACCTTCCCTGAGCACACCGTTACAAACCCTACACGGCTCAGGCTCTCCCACCACTAGGACAGTCCCTGTATCCTTACAGCTGTATCCCCACCACACAGCAAGGCTGGCATACAGTAGGTGCCAAATACTTACTAGGTTAACACATGACAAAAAGAAAGACAACTATAATCAATTTAAGGAAAAAGGTGTAGGGGCCTGCATTTGGTGGGGTGGGTTGGAGCACCACCCATAACACTTCAGGTCCCAGATGGGTGCTCAGCTTCTGATCCAGCTCCCTGCTAATGTGCCTAAGAAAACAGTGGAACATGGCCTAAGTCCTTGGGCCCCTGCTACCTATGTGAGAGACCCAGATGGAGTTCAGGCTCCTGGCTTTGGCTTGGCCCAGCCCCAGTCACGTGGCCATTTGGGGGAGTGTAACTCTGCCTTCCAAATAAATAGATGCTAAAGCAGGGGAGGGGAGGCAGGCTGTGTGGCACAGTGGGGTAAGCCACCGGCTGCAATGCTGGCATCCATTTGGGCACCAGCTCGAGTCACAGCTGCTCTGCTTCCAGTCCAGCTCCCTAATGCATCTGGAAAGCAGTGGAAGATGGCCCATGTGCTAGGGCCCCTGCACCCACGTGGAAGACCCAGATGAAGCTCCTGGCTTCTTGCTTCCACCTGGCCCAGCCCAGCTGCTGCAGCCACTGGAGAATGAACCAGTGGTTGGAAGATTTCTCTGCCTCTCCTTCTCTCTCTGACTCTGCCTTTCAAATAAACAAACAGATCTTTTTTAAAAAGTAGTCAATGTCTAAATGAGACAAGCAAGGACTGAATTTACTGTCAGGGTGGGGACAGGCATCCAGGGCCTGCAGGCCAATTACTCTGTCACTTACAAAGTTCTGGTAACTCTAAAGAAAGATTCCTGGAAAACCTCAAAGCTGGAATTACGGGAACTACCTGGCTGAGACCCAGTGTCCCCCTAGCCACAGCTTCCCGTACACTGACGGATTCACCCGGGTGGCTCTGGCCTGGGGACTCGTCCTCTAATATCCACGGCTCCTCTCCTGGCTCCAACTTGGGAACCACCTGTGGTTTTGGTAACGCAACGCCCTGTGAACAGAAATGAGCAGGACGTGGGGCCCGCAGCCTGAGGTTCAGGACCTTTTAAGGAGGACAGAAACACAGCCGCACAGAAATAATCACTGGAACACTTCCCTGGGGAGAAAGGAACACAGGTGCTCTTTAAAGAGCTCATGTCCACAAGAGGTCAGTGGGCTCTGACCCTCTCTGCAAAGCAGTGCCCTGGAGCAGCAGCTACAAAGGAACGGATGGCTTTGTGCAGGAACAGGTACCACCGTGCTTACCCACTGAGACAAGGTGGCTGTAGCTCTCTAGCACCACTCCCCCACGCGGCCCTGCCCCTCCCCCTGGGAGAAGCCCACAGCCACATCCCTGCGTGACAGTGACTCCCACAACACAGCAACAGCGACCAGAGTGGAGAGCGCACGATATGTTGTCGTGTTCAAGTGTTGTGGCTGAAGAGAGAACACTACATGGGATGTCTACTGTTAGTGTTCTTTGTTGTGGGAAAATGAGAAACCGGGGTGCAAGGGCTCTGCCAGGATGTTAATCTCTCCATTCACACAGAGTGTATGAGGTCCTGCCACTGTGCCAGGAACTAGTGCAGTTTCTATAGGTGAGTAAAAGACAAATCTCGTGGCCAGTGTTGGGGTGCAACAGGTTAAGCCACCACTTGTGATACCAGCATCCCATGATCGGAGTGCTGGTTCAAGCCCCAGCTGCTCTGCTTCCAATCCAGCTTCCTGCTAATGCACCTGGGAAGACAGAGGAAGATGGCCCAAGTAGTTGGGTCCCTGCCACCCAAAGTGGGAGACATGGGCAGAGCTCCTGGCTCCTGGCCTCAGCCTGGCTATTGCAGCCACTTGGGAACTGAACCAGTAGATGGAAGATTTCTGTCTCCCCCCCAACCCCTAATCCACTCTCTCTGTCCCCTGCCTTTCAAATAAATCAATCTTTTAAAAAAGAGTAATCCTGCTTTCAAGAATGACCAGGTCAGGGACACACCTAAACATTAATATCTACACCAAGAATCACAGAAGCAATGCTAGAAGCCTCTGGACGGTAGATGGGGAGCTGCAAAGAGAAAAGTTGTACTTGGTGTTATTGGTGAAGCTTCATCGAGAAGGAAAGCTTTGAGTCTTGATACTTAACTCTCTATGCTTTATAAATATGAGCAACTATACAAACTATATAAATGTAGAGGCATAAAAAATTACCTGGTAAGTTAATGGAACTCTATCATAGGAGAACAGGCTTTGAGGTGTATTTTTTAAAAGATTTATTTATTTATTTGAAAGTCAGAGTTACACAGAGAGAGAAGGAGAGGCAGAGAGAGAGAGGCAGAGAGAGAGAAAGGTCTTCCACCCACTGGTTCACTCCCCAATTGG